AATTTGGCATGGATTATAACTTAAGGCAATAATGTAATCTTCGAAGAAATTATACAGATATATTAACTACAGCATATAGCTGCCATATTAACTAAACGATCGGACTAAATTTCTTGCATTAAAAACTTTTTTATTTGACGAGGTATCTGCCCGATATTTGGCATGACTTATAACTTAAGGCAATAATGTAATCTTCGAAGAAACTATACAGATCGGAAAACTGCATCATATAGCTGCCATATTAACTAAACGATCGGAATAAAGTTCTTATAGGGAAAACTTTTTTATTTAAAGAGGTATCTGCCCGTTATGTGGCATGAATTATAACTTAAGGCAATAATGAAATCTTCGAAGAAAATATGCAGATCGGATAACTACAGCATATAGCTGTCATATTAACTGAACGATCGAAATAAAGCTCTTGCCTGAAAAACTTTTTTATTTGACAAGGTATCTTCACGAAATTTGGCATGGATTATAACCTAAGGCAATAATGTAATCTTCGAAGAAATTATACAGATCGGATGATTATAGCATATAGCTGCCATATTAACTGAACGATCGGAGTAAAGTGCTTGCATGGAAATTTTTTTTATTTGACGAGGTATCTTCACGAGATTAGGCACGAGTTATTGCCTAAGGCAACAAATTATTCTCCACAGAAACTGGACAGATCAGATCACTATATCATATAGCTGTTATACAAATTGAACGTTCGGAATCAAGTTCTTGTGAGGGGCCTTTGTATTTGTGAAGGGTATTATAGCTTCGGCGCAACCGAAGTTAACGTTTTTTCTTGTTGTACTTGTATCAGTTTATGACATAATTTCTTGGTGATGCTAATGTATTATATTTTCCAATGCGTAGGCACATACTTTTACACCAAATAAATTGGTCAACGGTTCTTTCGAGATGAAACAAATGCCTGGATATTTCTAATGGTCGTTTGTATTTCTAATAGCTTCTATATACATCAAACACTTTAGTGACAATTTTTATCTACAAATACGTACTAACACCAACAAATATATTTTCTTTGTTTGCTGCTTTATTTCAACATATTTTTCTACTGCTATAAATAATTATTCGCTTTCTTTTCTCCGTTTCCTCATATTTTTACCGCTGTCAATACATATGCGGCCGCTATGAAAATATATATCCTACATACCTACATAAAGTGAGCAGTAATTGAAATGTGTGCACAAATACCAGCGAGAATAGATACGTATGCATAAGTATGTAAAAGCAATACGTGGCCTCGACTTCTTAGTAAGCATCCCTGAATATATTTGGATCAGCAATCTTTTAATATTTCAATAAGTTGCTTGGAATAGGTATTCCGTTAGCACATAAATATACTCGGACAACTCGTCGTATGCAAATATTTGTGCATATGCATTTGTATTGGTATTGTTCGTGAATACACTTTTCGATACTTAAATGCTATACCATCTAGGCGCTCAACTCAATCAGCAGCTGCGGCAGCTGTTAAAAGCTAACATCATCCAACTCACCATTAGCATGATTAATGAAATATTGAATAAGAAAACAGGCAATTGAATTTTTATTTTACAAAGTTTATTAATAGGCATTCTAATTGAATTCTGATCAAAATAATTTGGCCAACTTATGTATATTGGCATAAGGAAACAAGCAGGCGACTAACTGAGGAGTTATTTGTCATCTTGCTCATGATGTTCAAAAGAGCGATAGTGTTAGCGGCAGCACAAATTATATAATCTATGATAATCAAAGCAACACATCTACCTACATACATCTCTAGACCTAAATATGCGTGGCTCACGATATTTGTGGCACAACACCTGTGCAATATCATTGATGGCTGCACATGTATTAATCTCTCTGTGCCTCTCTGGCGTGACTCTTACGGGAAATTAAATTGCCGATGTTTGTACATTTGCGATCATGTTAATGTTATCGTTGCGGTGCATAAATATCAGATTTATTAGTGTGTAGAAGACATGCTGTTCGCAGAATCTTCGATTCGATCATACTCGGGCCGTTTCTAAATTTATTTACCCACTCACACGTTTACCCAAAATCATTAAGCATGAATTAATTGTACGTAGTATGTATGTATGTATGTATTTTTTAGGAATGTACTCGGAGGTAATTGAATTGAAATAATTTCTTATGTGAACTCATGGCGGATTGCTCATTGGTGCTGCACTTATCATTATTCCAGCTGTTAACCAGTAGCTAGTCGGACCTAGTTGTCTAAACTCGTCGTCGCGCAGTTCAGTTCACTCGCTGACCACAACGAAAACTTATCGAATCCAAAGCTATTTTGAAGTTTGAAACATTTAGATAAATAAAAGGAAAAATTTAATAACGAATTAATAATACTATAATAATACTCTGAGAATAGTTAATTGGGTATCAACGATCCTTTTGAGACTAACGAAAGAACGAGAGAACAAGTGAAAACTTTTGTACCTTTTCGTTTTGTTTTATAGTGAAAACACATTGAAAGCTTTAATAACTGGTAGCTCATGCGAAATAATTGTTGCTTAAAATTTTAAAATTTTTTACGATTGTGTTATTGCCACACAATTATTTTTCGTCAATCTCAACATTTGTAGAAAATCCTTTTTAAGTGCCTACATATACTATGGCCGATGATAAAAAGGTAAAAAAATCTAAAAAGGCAGCCACTACTCCTGCCAACACTGGTGAAGCAGACTCGGCGAAGGCCGAAGTAGCACCTAGAGAAAATTGTGTAAGAGCCGATTTAAATTGTCAGCCTACTGAGGCTGTGGCGCAGACTACACACGAAATTTGCTCCATTTCTGCAGCGATTGAAGATGTAGTTATCAACGCCGTCACTTCGCCATTTTCTTCTGCAACGCAAGATAACGCAAATTTAACAACCGACGTTAAAACACCCTCCATTCCTTTTGATTCACTCGAATTACAGCGTCTAGAAGAGAAGGCTAAGAAGGCAGAGGAATTGCATGCTGCTGAAGTGAAAGTACGCAAGGAATTGGAAGCCCTCAATGCTAAGCTGTTGGCTGAAAAGACTGCCCTTTTAGATTCGTTGTCTGGTGAGAAGGGTCAATTGCAGGACTTCCAGGAGAGAAACGCTAAATTGACTGCCCAAAAGAACGATCTCGAGAACCAATTGCGTGTAAGTAAAATAATTGCATTTAATAATGCCAAAACTCAAATCTAATCATATCCGTCTTTGAAAGAATTTAAATTGAAGTAAATAGATCGTTTAGTAGTTGAAGCAAATCTAAAAATATTATATAAATGTATACCTGAAATATGTAATGTTAGAATATAAACTCAATTTCTAAACTTTCTATTTAATTCCTAAAATTAACTTCAGTTCATAAAGGATATATATGTGTAGTTGCAATTTATTCAGCGTGGTAATCAAGCACCATTATCCAATACAAATTACAAATTTAAATAATATATAATATATGGTATATATAATAACCATTTGGTATGCCCACGGTGCATTTGCACTTGCGGTATCAGATCAAAACGTGATTAATTATAATTTTGCGATTTTATAATTATATAGTTTTCTCGTGTATTTGCTTTAATTTTAGAAGGATTTCCAATAGAATCCGGAATGGGAAATTTTTGCGTTTTGCTAAAAATAGATGCTTAGATTGTGGTTATGTTTAAATTAGATTAGGGGTGACAGCGAGTGTTGTCAGTCAAATTGTAACCCAGTACATGTGTAGGTTTAAAAAATAATAATAGATGTTGTTAATTGCTCAATAGGATATACAAGATCGTTTGAGCCAAGAAGAGGATGCCCGTAACCAATTGTTCCAACAGAAGAAAAAGGCTGATCAAGAAATTTCTGGCTTAAAGAAGGACATTGAAGATCTCGAATTGAGCGTTCAGAAGGCCGAACAAGATAAGGCTACTAAGGATCACCAAATCCGTAACTTGAACGATGAAATCGCCCACCAAGATGAACTCATCAATAAGTTGAACAAGGAGAAGAAGATGCAGGGTGAGACAAACCAGAAAACTGGTGAGGAGCTCCAAGCTGCCGAAGACAAAATCAACCACTTGAACAAAGTTAAGGCTAAACTCGAACAGACTCTTGATGAATTGGAAGATTCATTGGAACGTGAGAAGAAACTACGAGGAGATGTTGAAAAGGCCAAACGCAAGGTTGAGGGAGATTTGAAACTTACCCAGGAAGCCGTATCTGATTTGGAACGCAACAAGAAGGAACTAGAACAGACCATACAACGCAAGGACAAAGAGTTGTCTTCAATTACTGCCAAATTGGAAGATGAACAGGTCGGTGTTGGTAAACACCAACGTCAAATCAAGGAGTTGCAAGCCCGTATCGAAGAATTGGAGGAAGAAGTTGAAGCTGAACGTCAAGCCCGCGCTAAGGCTGAGAAACAACGCGCTGATTTGGCTCGTGAATTAGAGGAATTGGGAGAGCGCTTAGAAGAAGCCGGTGGTGCCACATCAGCGCAAATTGAACTCAATAAGAAACGTGAGGCCGAACTCAGCAAATTGCGTCGTGATTTGGAAGAAGCCAACATTCAGCATGAGTCCACTTTGGCCAACTTGCGGAAGAAGCACAACGATGCTGTCGCTGAAATGGCCGAACAAGTTGATCAGCTTAACAAACTGAAGGCTAAGTAAGTATATTTTTTTGTACAATATGTTTCGAGATACATTTTCAGGCTTCTTATACCATATATAATATAATGCCACTTTTGATATATTTTGTGCATAAATGTTGAACGTCCGTAAAATCTTCTATTGGATTTCGTAACTTTTATTATTAATGCAATATTATTTATAATGAAAACAGGGCTGAACACGATCGCCAGACTTGTCACAATGAGTTAAATCAAACTCGTTCCGCCTGCGACCAACTGGCTCGCGATAAGGTAATGTGTTGTAAAACAACTTCAAGCCGTTTGGCCACTATTCACCAATTACTGCACTATCCCTACAATTATCCTCAACAACAATTACATACATATTATACTCACAAGCAATCTAACATTTGTAAAATGATAAATTTAAATATTTCTACCGGGTTTTGTAGTAGGTTTAAGACACAATCACTTCCAATTGAAGGTCTTCTGCAGCACGTTTACTGCTGTTAGTATCGCATAAGAAAGCAATATACTTCCTTGGTTTTCTATGTATCTCTTTAAATCGAATTTCCATTCATAATTTAACACAGCACTAACCATATCCAACTCTACTCTATTATTCACATAATCTAGGGCTGAAAAGGAGAAGAACGAATACTACGCTCAATTGAACGACCTCCGCGCTGGTGTCGACCACCTTACCAACGAGAAGGTATACAGACTAAAGATATTCTATATATTGAAAGATTTTGTTATATGCATTGCTGCTGCTGTAATTTTGCTGAAATTATCGATTGTATGTTTTCTGTAGTTTTGCTTTTTTTCTTAAATTAAATATATTTTAGCTATTACAGGATATGCACACAAGGATTAATTGATATATCCATCCTTTCTCCGATGTGCACAAAGAATATAATATAATATAAAAAAGTATTGACGATTATATTTCTAAAGCAGCGCCGATCATTAACATAACCATTGAAATGTTTTTTTTTTTTTTAATTTCGCCTGAAACTGTAATACCTATTACTCTAACTTTTCTTCGATAATAACGCACCGCTACTAATTGTACAGTACATACAAAACGCCACTATTTTGTATATAGTAAATATATTATCGTCCATGAAGTTAAGTATAACATATATTTCTTTACTATTTAGGCTGCCCAAGAAAAGATTGCTAAGCAATTACAACACACCTTGAATGAAGTTCAAGGTAAATTGGACGAAACCAACCGCACCCTCAACGATTTCGACGCCTCCAAGAAGAAGCTGTCGATCGAAAACTCCGATCTGTTGCGTCAACTGGAAGAAGCAGAATCACAGGTGTCGCAATTGTCCAAGATCAAGATCTCCTTGACCACTCAATTGGAAGATACTAAGCGTTTAGCTGACGAAGAATCTCGCGAACGTGCCACCCTCTTGGGCAAGTTCCGCAACTTGGAACACGACCTGGACAATCTGCGTGAGCAGGTAGAAGAGGAAGCCGAAGGCAAAGCTGATTTGCAACGTCAACTCAGCAAAGCCAACGCTGAGGCTCAAGTATGGCGTAGCAAGTACGAATCGGATGGTGTTGCTCGTTCTGAAGAATTAGAGGAAGCCAAGAGGAAATTGCAGGCTCGATTGGCTGAGGCTGAGGAAACCATTGAATCTCTCAATCAAAAATGCATTGGTCTCGAAAAGACTAAGCAACGTCTGGCTACTGAAGTAGAAGATTTGCAATTGGAAGTAGATCGTGCCAACGCCATTGCTAATGCTGCCGAAAAGAAACAGAAGGCCTTTGATAAGATCATTGGCGAATGGAAACTTAAGGTTGATGACTTGGCTGCTGAACTGGATGCTTCACAAAAGGAATGCCGCAACTATTCCACCGAATTGTTCCGTCTCAAGGGTGCCTACGAAGAAGGACAAGAACAGTTAGAAGCCGTGCGTCGTGAAAACAAGAATCTCGCTGATGAAGTTAAGGATCTACTAGACCAAATCGGTGAAGGTGGCCGTAACATTCACGAAATCGAAAAGGCACGCAAACGCTTGGAAGCTGAAAAGGATGAGCTTCAAGCTGCACTCGAGGAAGCTGAGGCCGCCCTGGAACAAGAAGAAAACAAGGTATTGCGCGCACAATTGGAATTATCTCAGGTTCGTCAAGAGATCGACCGCCGTATTCAAGAGAAGGAAGAAGAATTCGAAAATACCCGCAAAAATCATCAACGCGCTCTCGATTCCATGCAAGCCTCTCTTGAAGCCGAAGCAAAGGGCAAGGCTGAGGCGCTGCGCATGAAGAAGAAATTGGAAGCCGATATCAATGAGCTGGAAATTGCCCTGGATCATGCTAACAAGGTATAGTATATACAAATAGTGATACAAAGGGGGCGTTAGTTATATGTTGAAATATATATTTTTTTATATTACTTTAGGCTAACGCCGAGGCCCAGAAGAACATCAAACGTTACCAACAACAGCTTAAAGATATCCAAACCGCCCTTGAAGAAGAACAGAGAGCCCGCGATGACGCTCGCGAGCAATTGGGTATATCCGAACGCCGTGCCAATGCCCTCCAGAACGAACTCGAGGAATCCCGCACTTTGCTTGAGCAAGCCGATCGTGGTCGTCGCCAAGCCGAACAAGAATTGGCTGATGCCCACGAACAACTCAATGAAGTTTCCGCCCAAAATGCTTCTATCTCAGCGGCCAAGAGGAAATTGGAATCTGAACTACAAACACTCCACTCCGATTTGGACGAATTGTTAAATGAAGCGAAGAACTCGGAAGAGAAAGCCAAGAAGGCTATGGTTGACGCTGCACGCCTTGCTGATGAGCTCCGCGCTGAACAAGATCATGCACAGACCCAAGAGAAACTGCGCAAGGCCTTGGAGCAACAAATTAAGGAATTGCAAGTCCGTTTGGATGAGGCTGAAGCTAACGCACTGAAGGGTGGTAAGAAGGCTATCCAAAAATTGGAACAACGCGTCCGCGAGTTAGAGAACGAATTGGATGGTGAACAGAGGAGACATGCTGATGCCCAAAAAAATCTACGCAAATCTGAACGTCGTATTAAGGAATTGAGCTTCCAATCTGAGGAAGATCGTAAAAATCACGAACGTATGCAAGACTTGGTTGATAAACTGCAACAAAAGATCAAGACCTACAAGAGGCAAATCGAGGAAGCCGAAGAAATTGCTGCCCTTAACTTGGCCAAATTCCGGAAGGCACAGCAAGAACTTGAAGAAGCTGAGGAGCGCGCTGACTTGGCCGAACAGGCTATCAGCAAATTCCGCGCTAAAGGACGTGCAGGCTCAGTTGGACGTGGTGCCAGCCCAGCGGTGAGCATTTTTTTTAATTTCGCTTTAAATAAAATTATATCTAACTAATGTATTTTGAACTCACAATTTTGATTCACTATTTATTTATTTATTTATTATTATTCCTTTCGTCTCATGCGTTCAATTAGAATTGAATGCGACATAGCCAATGATCCAGCGATAAAGTGGTGATGTGATCAAACACAACACATGAGAAGCAAAAGCAAAGAGAATTTTAGTTCATAGGCAGCCAAAACTGAAAGTCTAAAATAATTGATAAAATTAAAAAATACTTACGCCATCTAAGATTCAAATTATTTTTAATCATGAAAAGAACATTTTAGAAAAGTTTAGTTGAATTAGCAATCATCATTACCTCGATTAAAAAATAATTTAAAAGCTGAATTAATATTTAAAAATAACAAAAATATCTTGAATACTTCTACTTTTTTATTATTAAATATGTATGTGTATACTGTAGCCGACATCGTCAAAAGGTGGCCGCCAGAATACGCTGGACCAATAATTACTTCTCATTACATTTGTAAGTCAATGAATGATACTCGTTATGCGTCCTTTATTTGTTCCCTAAAACGAAAAACGTGCTTTTTAGAGCATTAGTCATTAGCGCAGCCTTTAACATACTACACGTACTCACTCATTGCGCCCACCAAATGTTTGACGATCATTCATTAAAATTTTTACTCTCTACCGAAACCATTATTGCAATTAGAATGCATAAATTAGAATGATTTCCGAATTATGTTTGCAAAATGATGTTGGTTTATACCAAGTTTTACCACGCATGCACTCGTGCATATCTATGGTCATACATACATATATATTTATAAGCCAGTAAACCCGCAAATTCAAAATGTTGTCCTATTTATTTCATACTCTAATTTTGCTGATTTTTATACAATTTTCATTATTATTTTTTCATTCTCGTTCTTAACAGCCCCGAGCGATGTCCGTACGGCCACAACTTGACGGATTGGCTTTCCCACCAAGATTCGACCTTGCACCGGAAAACGAATTCTAAATGCCATTTCTGTACTTCGTTTATAAAAAATTATTTTAAAATAATATTTCATAATTATTTGTTATGTTTAATTTAATTTAAACTATTTACAATATTTTTTTGTTTATTTTATTTAAATAAAACAAAAACCATGTATAATTCGAACGACGGGAGGAAAATGCACTTAGGCAAAAACATCTCTTAAAAAATAAAAAATAAAAATAAAAATACCAAAAACAAACAACAAACGAATGTAAAACAAAAAACAATGAAACAAATAAAAAACCAACATTAGCATAAGCTCACAGCTATGACGAAATTTGTTCTTGTTAGTTAAAGTACGTACGTCACATACGATTTACGCAAAATTCGGAAAATCTTTGAGTTGTACTAAAGTCAGTCCAGCCCGTATGTATTGTATTTAATTTTTGCTTTTATACAAATAATGACTTAATTTACAACACCTATAGATATATTTACATGCGATTTATAAAAATAGTACGAATCCGTACAACTAAGACACGAGTAAGAGTTATTTCGAAAACAATAAAAACTGTATGTAGTAAAGTGCATAGTATAAAACATAAATGGCAGTGGGGGAACGCACTTACAAACAAGTTAATAAACATACACACACTCTCATACTGGACGAGCTTATGTTTATTGTCACTTTTTTAGTAATCCGAAAATTATATTAAATTTAAAGATAAAGTATACAAAAAAGGAACAAAATAAATGTAAATCAATAAAAAAATATAAAAATTATTGTAGTTATTTTTTTTTACATTTAGTTGGTCGTTGGTTGGAAAATAAGGCTTAAAGATACATTCATGCATAGAAATATTTTAGTTGCCGGAGAAACCGGGAAATCGTAACACTGTTTGGTTGTTGGAAAAGGGAGCCGCATAGAATCTTAGAGTTAGATATCCTGTGATAACGCCTATAATGTTATTTAATTCCCTTTTATCTAAAAGTAGAATCTTTGTGGTGGGTCCACCATCAATATTGCCCGAAAGTACTTTTGTGGTATCCCTTTGTGTTGCAAGACCTGAGGTGTTCGTCTAGAGTTCATTGCTTCAAGCAATCCTTGTATATCCTCTTTATATAGATTGTTTTAGAAGAAGGCTTCTTACCGATCCAAATAGGATTAGATCGCCGAAATAATAGCTGTTGTGGAAATTGGAACAGACAGATTGGCCCGCTTGCTTTTACGGCCACTTTGAAAACTATCTCAACAAAAGCTCTGGTGGTCGTTTTCGATATCTTGAATATCCATATCCAAGTGAAATATAATGCATAGCTTACGGCCAGCCGGCTTATGATTTTAAGCCTTTGGAGCCAAGCTCAGCATCACTGCGGGTATGGTATGGTATACTCGAAAACTCACGGTAGATTCACAATGCGACCGAGAAAAAGAAATGCATGGAAGTTAAGCACAACGCAGTAGAAAAAATGGACTTATTGCTCTATAATTTACCGCGATATCTTTGTATGTATTCACCGATAGATTAAAAGTTACTCAGGAGGATATCACTTGAACATATGTATGTGCGCTGCTTCGTGATCACAACCGTTTGGCATTAGACTGTAAAGCATGGTACCGCTGCACTATCCAAACCCCATTTTTGGTATCCCAAACATTCGTTTTTAAGAAGTTTAAATAAGAGCTTGCAAAATAAAAAAAAAGACTTGTGTGGTTTTATGAAACCACGGTAAAAGTGAAACTTTTTTTTCACATTAACAACTAATATTTTTATTGAACTCTGTGCCTTAGAGTACGACCTACATAATACTTTACAATTATTTAGATGATATACACATATTAAAAAGTTTCACTTTAAAAACTTAAAACAATAATTTATAATCGTTGAGTCATTTTGATCGGTTTTTAAATTTTAAAGTGAAACTTTTATTACATCGTCTCAAACTTATTCGTCTGCGTTTGCATGTCATGCGTCACGCCACTTATCACTAACAACATGTGCGCGCACTGCTCTATACATATGTACATACATATGTGCGTATGACATTGCCGAACAAATAATGCATACACAAACCTACGTACACATGTAAATACGTCACCCGCAAAAATTACAAACATTGTTCTACAAAAACAACAATCGTCTCAGGTAGCATAAGCAGCACACACACATGTCAATATGGCAGCCAAATTGCTGTAGCCCAAATTTATAGTAAATCACACAACCACAACATTTTCATTCATGAACGAAGGCGTACTCTTACAAGCGAAGTTGACTCATTCATAAAAGTAAACGTCATACACATATTCCCAAGCATGCGTTTGCCCACAACCGTTTTTTCGCGACGATGGCAAAAGCTAACAAGTAAGGAAGGGCTAAGTTGGGATGTAACCGAACATTTTATACTCTCGCAAACCCAAATGGTATACTCGTTTTAAATTTCTTTGTGGATCTTCCTGCCTTGTTCTATGTTGACCGACATTTTCGGTAAAAAGTTAGCTTTAGGCACTGGGGTCCACATATTCAGTATCTAGGAGCTTGAACAGTTTTGGTTCGATGTAGACAATTTTTGGTCACAAGGTGGCATACTTTAAACGCATTACTCACGCAAAGTTTTACCCCGATACAATCATTGTTGTTTGATGTGCATAGTGGAAAGTGAAAAAATCAGATGGAATTTAAAATGGTGTTATATGGGATATAGACATGGTTGTAATCCGATTTCGCTTATTTTCGCACCATGACATGGAAATATGAAGAAGAATATTATGTACCGAATTTGGTTGAATTCGGTTAAGCAGATCCCAAGATATGGGTTTTCACCTAAATGTGGGCGGTGCCACACCCATTGTATAATTTTGAACGCGGCTCCTATAAAGTCAGCTCATATGATCCCTGCGTTAAAAGTTAATGACTCTGGCATGTTTAGTGCTTGATTTATCGCGCTTTTATTAGTTTTTAACAGTACCGTTCTATAGGGAGTGGGCGGAGTTGTCACCCGATTTCACTCATTTTCACACCGCAGATAGAGGCATTTGTTCTCAGTGAATTTTGTTATTATAGCTTTAGCAGTTTAGGAGCTATGCACATTACGCCCACTTTTAAAAAAAATGTTAACTGCAGATGCCCCTCCCTAATATGATCCTGTGTACCAAATAACGGTCTTGTATCTTATTGCGGAGCTTAGTTATAACAATTTATTTGTTTTTGATTAATGGCGTTTTGTGGGCGTGGCAGTGGCCCGATTACGCCCATCTGCAATACCAACCGTCTCACGATACCAAGAAACATGTCTACCAAGTTTCATAAAGATATCTCAATTTTTACTCAAGTTACAGCTTGCACGGGCGGACAGACGGACAGACACCCGGATTTCAACTCGTCTCTTCATCCTGATCATTTATGTATACATAACACTATATCTAACTCTATTAGTTTTAGGTGATACAAACAACCGTTAGGTGAACAAAACTATTATACTCTGTAGCAACATGTTGCGAGAGTATAAAAATTATAAATTGAACAACTTTCTTATGTTACTTCTGGAAGGGAAAAGTGTCAACCCGGCAAACATAGAAAAAAGTGACAAAAATGGCAACATAGCTCTTGTCGATTTAAAATCTTTTACAATCTAAACTTAATATTATAAATGCGAAAGTCCGTTTGTTTGTTACGCTTTCACGCAAAAACTACTTAACCGATCGTCATGAAACTTTGTACACACACTCTTGGAGGTGTCAGAATGAACATAGGATACTTTTTATTAAAAAATGTATAAATTTTTTACGGATTATTAAAAAAATTATTTTGGAGGATTATATGTGTTTGTAAAATAAATTTGAAAATTTTGAATTTTGAAAAAAAAAGTTTGACAGATATGAAAAATTGTTTGTCGAAATATTTAAAAATGAAAGAAAACAAAAATGTATAAAAAACGATAATCAGAGAAATAACACCAATATTATTAGTTACTCTTATATACTTTAAAAATGCCTCGAAAGCGGAAATCTGCGCTATCAAGAAATTCTTCGTCGGTCCGTAAAGCTAAAATTGCACGAAATCAAGAATCTGAAGTTCACGCAGAGCTGAGAAGACAACAGCAAGCAGAGCGACAACGTGTTTTGAGAGCAGCTGAAACTTCTCATCAGACACGAGTACGTTCAGAAAGACAAGCTAAGCAGCAGGAAGCTAAAAGATCGATGGAAACGGAAGAACAATTGCAGGCTGTAAGGATCACACGTCGTCGAAATTTCATGACTAAGGATTGGTCTGTATTTAATGGTACTGGTTTTCAATATGATCCTTTAGTTGAGTATTCTAATCATCCCTTAATTGTTATTGGCTCAATGGATAAAAAATGTCAGTATTGTGATGCTTTTAAATGGAAAGACGAAACTGCTGGAATGTGCTGCAGCACTGGTAAAGTTTCACTTCCATTACTTGGTGAACCAGAAGAACCTTTAAAAACTTTATTGTTTAGTGTCACAGATGACGATTTCTAAGTAAAATAAGGAAATATAATTTTTGCTTTAGAATGACATCCTTCGGAGTTGATAAAGTGATTAGAATCCCTGGATTTTAACCAACATTTACTGTACAAGGACAAATATATCATCAAATTGGATCACTATTTCCAGGAAATAATGATCAGCATACATTTTTGCAGGTGTATTTTATGGGTGATGAACAAAATGAAGTAAATCGTCGTTGCCAGTATATAGATGGAGTAGAAAGAGAAACATTATAAAAATTTAACGAATGTTACACAGTCACAATGATTTGGTGAAGATTTTTAAAAGTGCGATAGACAACTGGCCTTCAGATAATTACAAAGTTGTCATTCATGCTGATCGAACTCCACGTGGTGAACATGAGAGGCGTTATAATGCACCGATGGTCAATGAAGTTGCTGTTTTGGTTACTGGTGACCCGTGCTCACCTCGAGACATAGTGTTACGAGCACATGATAATGCGTTAAAGCGCGTAGCTGATTCTCATAAATTTTATGACGCTTTGCAGTATCCATTAATTTTCAGTAAAGGTGAATCAGGATATCATTTCAATATTTCAGTCATCAATCCGACAACGAACGAGCCAATTCCAAATAAAAAAGTTTCATGTATGGACTTTTATGTGTATTATATGATGCATCGAGAGCATGACTTCAATCTTCTTCTGCGTACAAGGCATCTCTTCAATCAATTTTTAGTAGATATGTATATTAAAGTAGAGAGTGAACGTCTTCGTTACATTTCTCTAAATCAGAAAAAATTACGAGCAGAAAATTACATACATCTATAAGATGCCATTAACGCAAATGACAATATTAGACCTAATGACATTGGCAAAATGGTTATTCTGCCGTCCACTTTTGTGAACAGTCCCCGTTATCTGCATGAGTACACTCAAGACGCATTTACTTATGTACGAACTTATGGAAGGCCTGACCTCTTCATAACTTTTACCTGTAATCCCTCGTGGCAGAATGTATCTTAAGAACTTATGCCTGGTCAAAAAGCAACTGATCGTCACGATATAGTTGCTCGCGTATTTCGTTTAAAGGTTCAGAAGTTAA